CCTAACAAACTGTTTTTATTAAGTAATAATTAACTCGTTCTCCCACTTTTCACTATAATATAAAAGACATATATAACTGGGTGTGCAATTAAAAAAAACATCAGTATTAAAAAACTTACTTGTTTAATGAGATGATATTACCTAAGCGGACCCCCAGGGGTCTGGGGACCCCAGGTTGGGAACCACTGGACTAGAGGGAAAGCAGGTAGTTTGCAGCACCTACTGACAACTCTTGTGTTAGTCTTAGCTCGCTGAGAATTTACCATTACTCTTAACCCATTGACTGCTGATTCACCGTATAGGGCACGGTCCGTCTCCAGCAGTTGAATGTGAGTGTGCCGTATACGGTGTACGGCTAGCACATTTAATATTTAGAGCAGCCACAGTCAATGGATTAAAACGTACTCACTGTCACAACGCACGGAGCGCGTTTTCGCGACAACGAGACGTGAAGTATGAAGTCTCGGATTCACATTCTGTGCACGCTACCCATCAGACCACGCTTGAGCCAATTGTTTTCCAGATAAAATACATTTAGTCTGGTGACATCTATTATGATTTTCTTTTTGAAAGGATCTGTTTTAGTCATAATTATAAATCATAATTTGTTATCCTTGTACTGTACCTTTCAAACTTATCATCATTATGTTGAAACATATTTTTTTTTAATATTGCATTAGGAAATTCAATCTCCGACTGTACACATTTTGATTTCTAGATTAAATTTTCTTAGAAAAAATAATAAAATACAAAATCACTTAATAAAATCTGGATTTTTTTCATCGTGGGCTCTGAATTTTACAGTTCTTGTAAGCGGTGTTATGGTTTTAATGCTTTGTTTCCAGAGTTCCGCTGTATAATTATATTTTAGAATATTTTAGCAATTTCACTAAACAACGTATATAAACATAATGTCTACACATATCTACAACATATTAATCACACTTGAAACAGCTTGAATTCACTTATTATTAATACATCAAAACTTGACGAAAGTCAATAATTGTCCACTGAAACAACGGACGAGATTTGAGAGAAATCACTACAATTAAAGCGATAGTTGATACTACACGAGAACACCTTCTCGACACACGCAGATTGACTATTCCAGTTTTCGTTTTTAGATCAACAGTTAGTTATTGTCCTCACTCCTTATGAGCTTTTAATTTCAGTCAGCGAGAAAAAGAAGAACTTTACCATTTAAATTCAAATAAGAAATATGTAAAATAAACAAATATAGATAATTCCGAAGTTTCCCGCCTGTTTCAATTGTATCTGTCATCTTTGTAAATTATGCAAACTTCATCACATAAAAAAACAAACTTAGTTTTCATTTTTAAATTCTTTAATTATCGATATCTTGCCACATACTGACGTAAGTTATTTTTTCAGGATATTTTATTAAACCAAAAAATATTGATTAAGGCATATATGTTCTTGTCTTTACAAAAATTTGATATTTGACAACTTTACAAAATGATGATTTTAAGACTGTGCTTTAGTCCTTTTTCTTTCACTTCATGTTTACGAAATCGAATATTACTTATACTCATGAGAGGTTATTTTCATGAATAGTTATGGTTTAATTTAATTTAATTATAATTCTACTCATTGCACCAACCAATGATAAGATATGGAGCAACTACTTTTACCATTTTAATGATGGTGTTTTGTAGTTTCTAGATTGTTGAACATTGTTGATGATCAGGATTTTAAAAATGGAGATCTTAATATAAGTACACCATTGATATTATTATTGCAGCCTTCTTAAAAAATTAAAAATACGTTTAAGAGATAAACTGCTTTATCTGTTGGCGTCTGAATATTTTTGTTTATTCTAGTAATCAAACCTGACATTGAGAATATCTGAATTTACATAGAAACAGTATTAAAATGTAGCTGTTAAGAAGTACATATAGCAAATATTTCAGCGGCTTCTTGTTTTGAACGGTTTTATTAATTTGATTTATTTGGCAAATGCTATACATTCTTATAACCGTTCTTCAGGCTTTGTTTTTCGAAAGATTGAAAAAATTGTCTATATCAATAACAAATAATACATGAACATTGTATAATGTATGTACATTTGTTGTCTTAAATTGGTATGATAATACGCGTATATAAAACAATGTACGTGTAACTAATGTCATAAGTTCGTAAAATGATGTACATAATATAATATGTGTATTTGATGTCTTAAATTGGTAAAGTAATGCATGCATATAATATAATATATTTGTAACTGTTATTTTAACTTGGTATGATAATATGTGTATACGATGCCGAATATGTGCCTATAAAATGTGTTAATTTTAAAATAATACACATTGATTGATGCACTGTGTGTGTACATAATGTTTGAATCTAATACATAGAACTACTGATTAATATCATATTACATATATATGGTTATAATATTATTCTCACTGTTAAGTCTGATAAAGAAATCGATATAACACCATTCATTTTATGTAATTGAAGGTGCAATAAGAAACGTAAGTTGTAGTCCGAAGTTCATGAGCCCCACGTGGGGGTGACGTCACAGTTTGTAGCAGGCACGACTGGTAGTGACGCTAGTCACGAATGGGAGGCACGTAGAACGAAGTTTATGAACTTGAGAAGTAGTGTCAGGTGGCTTGTTTAAGTAATCACAGCGATCTACAAGGGAATGTTTCGTGTGGACCTGGGACAGTAAGCATTACCAGCGTGGTTTATTTTAACAGGATCTGTAGTTGTGAGTGGAAGTTATCTTATCGTTATAACCGTTTAAAATATAATACAATGATAAGGACTAGTACTAGCTATTGATGCTAACAAACAGTGATTATGGTTACCTAAAGTTGCAGGTACTGGCCGAGTTTATCGGTTGGACCATTTAAACTACGTGCATACTGAGTCGATTGAACTGAAAGTAACTGTACTGTTAAATGAAAAAAGAAATTTTTCTATGTAGTAAGTTGCTAGGAAAGTTTTTAGTTGTTGTTTCCTTTAGTTTTGCTTGAATATTACCAATTATTTTTTGTATATTTAGGATTGGAAAGAATATTTCTAGTTACTTGTTTTGGCGTATATTGAAACCTTGACAGTGAGAAAATGTGACATTCTTATGTATGGTTTATGCTCTGAAGACGCTCAAGGTCCTTTGAAAACTTTTGCTTCTGTATTGTCTTTTATATTTTGTTCTCTTCAAAGCAGAAGGTAATTGTATATCTCACTTATTAGTTTGTGAGATTTACCACCGGAAGTTTAGAAATGCTTGGACTAGAGACTTTCTAAGTGTGACTGAAACTAGCTAGTTGCTCCAGTAGCTGAGGTCCTGCCGACATCAAGTTTCCAATGGGCGCTTCTGTGGGGAAGGGAGTCTCTATTTTGGACAGCCTTCCCCCGAATCAGTCTCTTCACGTGGTGATGCTTGGTCTGGATTCGGCAGGAAAAACAACAGCTTTGTACCGGCTTAAGTTTGATCAGTACTTGAATACGGTTCCAACAATAGGTTTCAATTGTGAAAAAATCAAAGGGACAACCGGGAAAGCTAAAGGGACAAGTTTCATGATCTGGGACGTTGGCGGACAGGATAAATTAAGGCCTCTGTGGCGATCATATACACGATGTACAGATGGTATTGTTTTCGTTCTGGACAGCGTCGATGTGGAGAGAATGGAGGAAGCAAGAATGGAACTTTTACGGACTGCTAGGTGCCCAGAAAACTCGGGAGTGCCTATCTTGGTGCTGGCTAACAAGCAGGACCTTCCTGGAGCAAAAAGTCCCCAGGATATCGAAAAACAACTTGCTTTGAAAGATCTAGGATCAAATCACTTGTGGTACGTTCAGCCAGCGTGTGCGATAATTGGAGAAGGACTGGATCAAGGGCTTGAGGTTTTGCACGACATGATAATTAAACGTCGTAGAATAATCAAACAATCAAAAAAGAAAAGATAGGAGTGGTATGAAACTTTAAAACTGTTTTACTTTAGAAAAACAACTTAAAATGTGAACGTTTTAAAAACAGGTGTATAGAATTTATTTAATCAAAGAAATTCTAGACATTTGGTGCAATTGATCTCCAAGTCAAAACGTTGTTTCAAGTGAGACAAGTAATAACATAATAACTGGAATAATTATCAAATACTTGTTACTGAAATACGTAGTGCTCATGCTAGTGTTGCAATATTTTACAGTTTACTGCCAGTGCTGGAAAATGTTAACACTCAGTGTTTCAACATGTTCGTTTACTATTAACATATTACATTTAACTGTCAGAACTTGAATGTGCTACAGCTTACTGTCAATTTTATAAAACTTGTGAAAAAGCTCACTGAAAACATTCTAGAAATGAACAAATTGTGTTGTTTTTTTCCACTGATGGTTCGTTATTTGTGTAATGATTGTTAACAACAATGTTTATCTTATACAAAATCTTTTATAGATAAACAAATTACTATGATATTTTTGATACCCAGAAATACAAAAGGCCAGTCTATTTCTATCACATTGCTATATGAGAACAAGAAGCATCATGAATTGTAATATGTAATGAACGATTTTAATATTTTTTCTACTTGTGCAATACGAAAGTAAAAAAGAAAAAAAAGCAAGCTCACGTGAATTTTTTAAATGATTTTTATATACTTCTTTGTTTCGGCATGTAATTATTAGATGTAACGATAATTAAATAATTTATAGATACTTTGTATTGTTTCTGGTGTGACTTCACTGTGGTCTTTACACCTAGTCCAGTTTTCCATATACTTCATTCTTCCGATTATCGAGTTAATTAGGTGAAAATACAAAGCATAGTGTTTATATGACAACTAATAATGACGCAGTAAAAAATACATGATCAGTCTTATTGTGACTTATTGTAAATGAATTGGATAAAATTGACAATAATTACAACTCACTTTCATCTATTTCCACCATAATAGTCGTTGTTCACAAAAACTGATGATATAAATAGCGCCTAGACCACTACTATGTGTGTCGTATCCCAACCGGCCAGATGAGCCCTGGTTAGAGGCGAAAGGCCACTTCGGCATTGGATATAGTAGATATTGTGTGGTTTACCATATACACAAGAACTTAGAATTTATGTTAAAGAAAAATATATATTAAAGCACTTTTATTGAATAGAGTTAGCGCGTAATGTTTATGGTGAAAGTCTCGTTTTATGAAACGTACATTGATATACATACAAAAAGTAAGTAGATCTGGTTCCTATATGCAGTTTAGTAACTTTATGATCGATGATATATACATTAGAAGATATACCTTGGCAAATGTTTGCCACTCTGTTTTATTTAACATTCAACATCATAGACCGTGCTATAGGTTAGGCTTTATTGAGTCTGGGTACACATATTTTTCAAACAACGCTGGAAATTTTTAAACTAGATGGAAATAGAAACTGTGCAACCTGCAGCGAAAGTCGTTTCTTACCTTATGTGCAGTGAAGGTGAATGAGCCATATCGTATACAGATGGGAGTGCTAAACCTATAACATGGCGACTGGAAGCCGGTAATAGCTAGATTTATATAACTGGTATGAAGTGAAAAGTAAGGGTGAAGAGAAGCAAAAGTTTCTGACCATCCCGGGTTGTCTTTGAGGCCCCAAGGTCTTTATTGAGGCTTGAAAGATTTATAAACCTAAATTCTTGCCACGAATTGGATCGGATCTAAGGGACATCAGTTAGAGTTGAGAAAGCAGCAGCCGCATTTTTGTCAGTCCCTAAGGGATTAGAAGGTACAGCCCTCTAAATCGTTAGAAAATTATTGGAGGGAGCCTTTCTAAATTAAGCTGGATTGAGAGGCTTAAAGAACTCCCTATGATTATGAGACATTTTAATCCAATATAAGGGAAACAGGTGTGTTGAGCGTGGTTTTTGCTTGAGACATCATGTCACCTAGCAAATAAAAACCTACATTACGTAAAAATATCCCTCGCGAAACTCAAAACAATTTTTTTTCTCGAAAGTCCTTGTCTATTGACCACAAAGCGGGGTGGAGAGAAACAGAAGTTTCTGACCTCCCGTGGTTATCTTTCAGGCTCAGAAGGGGCCTGAAAAATACTTAACCAAAATAACTCTCGAATCGGACGGATAGGGCGTGGTTTTTGAGAAAGAAATATAACATACAGCAGTTTTAACAGAATAAATTTATAATAAAACCTAAGTACCTGCCAAGAAGAAAAAAATACATATAGATGTGAGAGAGAACCAATATACCAAGAGAGGCGAAGTAATACGCTGCCAGTAAGAAACAAAACCAGGTTCTAAATATCTGTGTAATTGAATAAAGTAATAAAAATAAATGTGCTATGTTTAAATTGGTATGAGACAATCCCTGATAAAGATAAGTACAACCTTAATAAAGTTAAGGGGAAAGCGAATTGTGAGTATAGCACGATTGTAATAAAGTTCCAGCCCCCTAAGAAAGTGATGTGGAAAGGAATCTACAACGATAATATGACTTATTGAAACCGGTACGTCAACCGATCTGGACAAAATTTTTCACCAAAACTGCAGTACTGTGGGGTTAAGTGATAGGTGTACAACTTTTTTGAAATCAATACTTAGAGGTCTGTCGATAGAGCTTGGGCAGACAACGAACTTCAAACCTCTGAATTTGAGGTAATCAGAAGTTCTGACCTAGTCAATACACGCCATATGTTTAACCTCGGTAAGGCAAACCTTCGGCTAGTCTTACTTTGCTTTTGATAGTTGAAAAATACTAAATCATTGTGTTAATTTATTATTATTAATTAAATTGTTAAAATATTTTAAAATTCCATATTTAAACGTGGATTTTAGGAGTTATGTGCTTGTAATTTTGGCATCGTGTTGTGCGTTTACACCATTTTAAACTCTTAATCGCATCCTTTCAGTGAAGTATAATTTTTGTTTTACACACGAAAACGTATTCATTTCAATAAACTGCCATTTGACAAAGCTTATTTACTTCAATAAATGGCTGTTTCACAAAGCTTCTTTACTTCAATAAATGGCTGTTTCACAAAGATTATTTATTTCATTAAACGGCTATTTCACAAAGATTATTTATTTCATTAAACGGCTGGTTCACAAAGATTATTTATTTCATTAAACGACCGTTTCATGAAGTTTATTTATTTCACTAAACGGCCGATTCATAAAGTTTATTTATTCCAATAAACGGCCGTTTCATAAAGTTTATTTATTCCAATAAACGACCACTTCAAAAAGCTAATTTTCTTCAATAAGCAGCTGTTTGACATACCTTGTTTACTCCATTAAACATCCGTTTCATAAAGTTTATTTTCTTCAATAAACGGCTGTTTGACAAAACTTATTTATTACAGTAAACGGCCGTCTCTTTTTTTATTCGTCAAATCAACACTAGTAATATAAAATACGTTATGGGTTTCAATAACACGTAACTGTACCGTAACAATTAATTATATATTATTGTTCAGCGGACTAACTGGGTATTTATTTATTTGTCAATTTCTTTTCCTCTACTGTTATGTTCTTTCATACGTAATACTAGCGTGCAGTAGAAGCCTACGAAGAAAGATGGAGGAACCATTTGTGTTCACTGGTAAGTTTCGTTTATGGCTGTCGAATTTCCACATGACCAACCAGAGATCATTTGTAAACTATTTTTCATTTACTGAAACTTGTGCTTGCTACGGCTGAGCGAATCAAGACAAAAATGTGAGACGAGTCAGAGCTGAAGAATTCCACAGTTGTGAAATTTTATTATTATGCATTTAGTGCAATTTAAAGTGACCTTGCCTCTATTCTGAATTAGTTGTGTATGAAAAAAGTCTGCTTTATCTCGGCTTTTGCAAGTTTTTTTTTGTTATTTAATGATACAGATAAACAACTCTTCAAACAATAATTTGATAAAACTTAGGGAATTATAAAATAACATTATTCTGATATCTGTATGCAAAGAACGCGTGAATAATTCTCAGTGATATCTAAACATCGTTTCTTTACACATTCCCTATTGGTATCTACGTATTAACTACTGCGAATGTAGGTTATACAGAGATCAGCACTAACAATTTACCAAGTAATGAATATAGTTAATTTGATATACTGTTCGTATAATATAAATGACTATAATAAATTTTTTATCACTAGGGCTAGTTGGGTACCCTTGTTGTTAGCAAGTATGCATTGTTAGAGCAAACTGAGTAGATTACTTACTAATAAGTGTACTTAAAAATATGCACTGCTAGAGTAAACAAAGTATAGATTACTTACCAACAAGTATACTTAAAAATATGCACTGCTAGAGTAAACAAAGTATAGATTACTTACCAACAAGTATACTTAAAAGTATGCACTGCTAGAGTAAACTGAGTACAAATTACTTACTAATACGTATACTTAAAAGCATGCACTGCTAGAGTAAACTGAGTTCAGATTATTGATTAACCAGTATACTTAAAAGTATGCACTGTTAGAGCCAACTGAGTACAGATTACTTACTAACAAGTATACTTAAAAGTATGTGCTATTTAGAGCAAACGGATTACTTACTAACTAGTATACTTAAAAGCATGAGCTGTTAGAGTAAACTGAGTTCAGATTATTGATTAACCAGTATACTTAAAAGTATGCACTGTTAGAGCCAACTGAGTAGAAATTACATACTAACACGTATATTTAAAAGTATGTGCTATTAGAGCAAACGGATTACTTACTAACCAGTATACTTAAAAGCATGAACTGTTAGAGTAAACTGAGTACAGATTACTTACTAATGAGTTTACTTAAATGTATGTGCTGTTAGAACACAAGCAAAATTACCGAAATAAATTTTGTAATGTGCAACTTATGAAGGTGTTTTCTTCTACAGATAAAAACCGTCAGATTTCTGAAGGCAAATCTCTCTCTCTCTCTCTCTCTATATATATATATAGAAGCAGTAGATTTTCATGCAAAAAAGTCAGTTCGCTTTTTCATTATTAATCCTGATGTTTGTTCACAGTTACTGAACTGCACATAAAGAATGCTGTTTCATTTTTTCCATAAAATTTTGGAAAGTATCATCAAGTGGAAAGGCTTGTATAAAGCTGCCATCAAAGGTAACCAATATGCTTGTCGTAAAATGTTGGAAAGTACCATCAAGTGGAAAGGCTTGTATAAAGCTGTCATCAAAGGTAACCAATATGTTGGTCGTAAAATGTTGGAAAGTATCATCAAGTGGAAAGGCTTGTATAAAGCTGTCATCAAAGGTAACCAATATGCTTGTCGTAAAATGTTGGAAAGTACCATCAAGTGGAAAGGCTTGTATAAAGCTGTCATCAAAGGTAACCAATATGCTGGTCGTAAAATGTTGGAAAGTATCATTAAGTGGAAAGACTTGTATAAAGCTGTCATCAAAGGTAACCAATATGTTGGTCGTAAAATGTTGGAAAGTATCATCAAGTGGAAAGGCTTGTATAAAGCTGTCATCAAAGGTAACCATGCAGTAAATTTGTCGTAAGACAATTTAACGTATCATAAAGCGGAATAAAGACATTTTGGGAATCTAACGTAAACCTGTGATCACATGGAATCATGCAGTGTGCACACAAATAAATCTGGAGATGTAGTTCATGTTGTAAACGTGACGCTTACTTTCCTTATAAATTAACAAACTTGAGAACAAACAAACTAGGGCTTTAATAATTGTTTTAAACGTATAGCTCACCATCTAAAGA